CAGTAGAGCGCCGACTCTCAGGGTCATGAGTTCAAGTTCCATATTAGGTATGGAGATCACTTAAAAATAAAAATAAAAGAATAAAAAACCCTCCCCCACAGAAAAATGGCAAGAGTAAAACACTTCACAAGTGATCTACAAAAGGCCAATGAACACTCGAAAAACAAGTATCCTGCCGTAAAGGAAATGTACATTAACATCACAGAAATACCTCTACACATCAACCAAATGGCTAAAACTTAAAACTAATTCTAAGGTTTAGAAAAGAACATTCTAGGGGATGAATTTAGCATGAGCTTAGGCAAGAGTATTAAAGCTGGAACAAATGTTCATATAAGTAAACATGGGTAGTTCATGTGGCTTGGTCACAGACAGGGAAAGATAAAATGTATTCTGGAAAAGTAGTTAGGAATCAGAACTCCGGGTATCAAGTCCAACAGAAGGACTTTAACCCATATCTGATTAGCAACCCCATGACACGGATGACAGCTTTGTACAGAATGTTCCAAGGCCAGGGGGGCGGGGTGGAATACAGAAACTTTCAAAGAATTTATCTCCTATCCTGCATTAAATTTCTCTATTCTCCACAATCTGATGTTGCCTTCACTCATCAACCAAAATCTCCATCTGCACTCTCCAGCCTACTCAGACCTCCTTTCTCTTTACTCACCACCAGGTGAACTCACACCTGGTCAAGGGCAGCTCGGAACTTTCACTCAGGGCACATCACTTCCTTTACTCTTCCACTCCCCCGAGCCTGCTCTCCATTTAAGTCCAGTGCTTTTGCAGAGGCCCAACTGAGGTCTACACATTCTGTGACTTCCTGACTACTCCTAACTGCCCTCCTCTCCTTCTCCTGAGTCCTTCCCTTCCCTTTCCTATAATAGGTAATTCAACATTGAACTAGAATCCATATTATTTTGTTCTCAACTCTCTAACCAGACCATTAACTCATGGCTAAAGGGATCACACCTTTCACTTCTGTACCCCTGTAGCACCTATTACCAAAGAAAATACATAGCCAGCTGTCAGTTCCTCTTGATAACAGAAATGCTAACATACCCTGTCATTCAACAGTTCCATTTCTAGGAATTTATGCTACTGATATATACACAGACACACAAAAAAAATATGACCAAAGATACGCATTATAGACAGTAATAATAAAACTACAAATAACCTGGGGCACCTGGGTGGTTCAGTGGGTTAAAGTCTCTGCCTTCGGCTCAGGTCATGATCCCAGGGTCCTGGGATAGAGCCCCCCAATCGGGCTCTCTGCTCAGCGGGGAGCCTGCTTCCTCCTCTCTCTGCCTTCCTCTCTGCCTGCTTGTGATCTGTCTGTCAAATAAATAAATAAAATCTTAAAAAAAAAAAAACTACAAATAACCTAAATGTCTATTAAGAAAGATTAGTTCATTTAAGTCCATACCGGCTATCAAAAAACAAAACTTGGGGTGTTGTATGAAAGCAGAGAAGGTCGATACTTCCCTTGACAAGGATGGATGAGGCCCTCCGGCCTGACAACAACCATATATAAAGTCACTACCACCTAGTTTGTGGCATCTAACCATCACTTTCTTTGTTTTTTGAACCACTGTATTGTACACCTGAAACTAATTATGTTAGCTACACTGGAATTAAGGTAAAAAAAAACTTAGGATACATATACATACGGATCATAACAACATAAGTGAAAAAAGTTGCAGGAAAAGGGTAAATAGGTCTTATTTATATATACACACATAATTTACAATAACAAAATTTTAGAATGATAATCTTTGGTAAATTGGATGGACTTAAAAAATAAAAAAATTTCACTCACTGCCCCAACAGAGTGAATTGCAAAAGATTTTATAATATGAATCCATTTTCTTTAAAACAAGGATCATAATATGCTGAGGTATATGTACCAAAATGAATATTTAGAATATATGCCAAGTGTTAATGGTTATTCCTAGAAGAGGGATTACAGAAAACTCTCATCTACATTAGTGTTTCTTTTAATAAGCACTTACTTTAGTTACCCTCCCCCACCACACACAAAGATTAAAAAAAAATCTTTGAGCTAGCAATCCCAGAGAGATAAGCCTTGCCTTTTGGTCCACCTGGCAATTAGTTAAAACCAGCTTAACCGTTGGACAGCCCACTATATTAAATCTGAGTAAGCATTACAGGTAAATCACATCTGCAAATCAGATTTACAGAAATTACTGACTGAAAAGCTACTTCTCTACTAGCCAAGTATTAAATATCTGTCTGACGAAGGGAATACTGCTAGTGTAAAGTGACGCTTAAATATTTGCTGAATCATTGCAAAAGGCAGGCATTGCACTGGTCTCTCCTAATATACGGTTCCATTTTTAAGTATCTCTTGGGTATCTGGAGTCTACCGCAAACTTGCCTCAGGCCTTTGTTTCAAGGCCAACACCTGAGAGGAGGCAGAAATCCCTACATACTTTCTTTTCACCTGTTAGTGGAGGAAGAAACTCTGAGAACCACTAAATCACAGAGAATCCCAAGGGAGCACTGAATTCTGTCTCCATGGATCTGTGCTTCATAAAGGATATTATAGTTCTTACAGCTACTCTACATGCCCTGCTCCACAGAGGAGCTTACCAATGTCTGACTTAACGCGTCCGGACCTTCTCCACTAAACCTTCGATAAAAACAGAGCAAGGAACTGCCCGTTTTTCTCTACTGCTCCAAATATTTTCCCATCTCATCACTGACCCAGAGATCCAACTGCCATTTTGTTTTCCCCTTGGACTTACAGCTGAACAGCTTATCACTACTGATGCTAAGTGCTTTATATGTATTACAACCAATTTATACTAACAATGCTGTTAATTATTCATATTTTATCAGTAAACAACCTGAAATACAAGGTTTGATAATTCGTGTTAAAAAGAAAACCACAGGCTCAAAAATGGAGTCACTTACGCTAGGCCAAACTAACTGCAGTTTCAACCTCACCCAGAAATGTAGTCTTCAGTTAGGAATTATCTGGTTGGCACCCATGAGGTCATCTGTTACATGAGCCTTTGTCCATTTCCCAAAGGAAGGTGACCTCATCCCAAACAATCCTTTTTCCTGTTGATTTCCTTTTCCCACCTTTAAAAAAAGAAAAACAAAAACAAAGAAACCTCTCCCTTTCTGTAGCCCTTTGGAGCTCCCCTCTACTTGCTAGCTGGGATACTGCCGGATTTCATGAATCAAATACAGCCAATTACATCTTGAAAACTCACTCAGCTGAATGTTTGTTAACACTAGTAAACAGTGGCAAAACTAGGGTTTAAACCCAGAGATTGATTCCTCAATCTAAGCTTTACTATACCACACTATCTCTGGGATATATTCTCTTCAACCTAGAAAACACCAGAAATCTTCAGTCAGATGTTGCCACAAAATGAACAAATCTTTTAGAATTTCTAAGGAAAAAAAAATGTTTTATTCAAGCTCAAGTCCTGGACAGCTGCCCTGGATACACAATCTTTGCAAAGAAAGTGCTCCAGCAAAGGAATATTTGATGTAAGGTTATACACCTTTTTTATGTAAAAAGTTACAAATAATTAGACAAAGAACATTTCAGAAAGTTGCAGACCTTATCTTAAATTTCTAGAATAGGCTGTAGGACTTTAATCTTAAGGGAAACAGGGAAGTTTCTTTTTCTTTTGTGTTCAGAAGGCCCCTCTTTGGTGTACGTGTTTGTTTTTTGTTTGCTTAACAAAGCAGATGTACAGTATGTGATCTGGCTGGGCACAAAGAGAGCCTATACCCTGAAATTCTGCAGTCAGTCTGACCTTAGTAAATGTTGAAGAATAGCTAGCTTCCTGGGGGGGGGGGCCCACGAGCAGGGCCCACAAATATTAAAAGCTGAAAATTTCCTTTATCGCAGTGAAGTGCTTAGGTTTTTCACAAAACTGAACATCAACATGCCACAGGGATCAAATGTTTACTCACAGAAATGCAAGTCTGGCTACCATTGGGTTACTATGAACTTGCTTCACAGTAGAAAAGCCATAGAAAAGCCACTGCTTTTCTCAACTTCTGAAAAGCTATTTACATTAATAATTAAACACTCAACCTCTCAACCAAGTCAAACAGATTTGTGTTCAGATTCTCCTTCTGTTACTGCTTTCCTTTACTTGCAAATAAGACATAAAGGTATATGTGAAAAACTTAGCATACTGAATGACTGAAGAGTAAGAAGTCAAGGTCCCCTACTTCTACTCTTTGTTTTACCATCAATATTCTCAGGATATGAAACAACTGGACAAGTCCAAATCAAATTCAATACTCTAACCAGCCCCAATCATTCAAGTGTCTATAGGAAACTATATATATATATATATATATATATATACACATATATATATATATACACACACACACACATATATATATATATTTATGCACTGATAAAACAGGACTTCTACACAACCAAGAAAAACTGGTAAAGAAATATACTTATTAAGAAATTATCACATAAGTCAATTGCAACACATGACAATGCTATCACCCTAACTCACACCTCCCATCTATAACTCTGAATGACGATCATTTGGTAAAACGATAAAAATCCACAAGTGAGTGTTAGAGCTTTGAAACATCTTGTACTCAATAAGCTCTGGGGCTTTCGATGGATTAAAAATCAACGGATTAAAAATGCAAGACGGGCAGTAACGCCTGATCTTAACCCCTTGGATGCAGAGTAGTTCGAGCTGCTCTTGAGGCCTAAGGGTTAATGTCGCACGTGACGCTCCCTCTTCTCCAGGTGGCGCGCATCCGATGAAACGCTGTAGCAAGGACTGACATCTATCCCTATTACTTCAGGGGAGGAAACTGAGGCAGAAGAGAGGCTGAGGAGTATGCCTAACGGCTCAGAACTCGGGAGTCTGAGGCCGACTGGAATCTTTCTGGGTCTAGAGTTCGGTCCTTTTAACCTTTCAGGGCTCAGAGGCAGGGGCAGGTGACAGCGAAAAGTGGAAAGAGTACAGTACCGGTGGGAAGAAGGGGTTCCAACGGGGTAAAGGCATGCTCCATATCAGACTACAGGCCTCTGCATTTAAAAACAACAACAGAAACGCCACGTTAGGATGCCTCCGAGCTAATTCAACAGTCTGCGAACTCCCCCAGAACGCCGGCCGCGTCCATCCCGCGCTCCCGCGGCGGCTTCCGGGCGGAGCTCCAGGGAGCCCAGGCGCCGGGGGTCCCGCCGCCCGGCTCCGCGGCGAGGAGCCAAGAGGGAGGCCGGCCTCCAGGGCGGGCAGACGCCGCGCGTGCCTCCGGGAGCCGCTCCCTCCTCCCTGTCCCCGCGCACGGCCACCATCCGGGGACTGCAGAGCCAGACGCGGCTGCCCACCACCCCCCTTCTTCGCGCTGCCCGCCCCATCCCGCGGCCCGCGCGCCCACATGGTGGGCGGCGCGCTGAGCGGCGGCCGCACTTACACAATGGCGGGTGAAGCGCGCGGCGAGCGGAGCCGGGGCTGCGGGAGCGAGGACGATCGACCGCTCGGAGCTCAGCTGAGGAGCCTCGACGGCGCGCGGCAGGCGCTCGCAGGCTTAAGTAACGGGCGCGCGAGGCGGCCCCGCCCCCTTCCGGAGCCGTGGGCCGGTGAGGGCCGCGCGTTCCCGCCGAGCCGCGCGCCCCCGACGTCGCCGACGCCGGGCAGTCCGTCAGCTAACTTCCTCCCGCAGGTTTCTTCTGCGCCAACTCTGCGCTCCCGCTGGCGCGGGTGTCGCTGCCCAGCGCTCTGCGCTGCCGTCAGTGAGGAGGCCGCGCTCTGCTCAAAACCAAGCAGCAACCGCTCGGTCACCCTTCCTCAGCCTGGCCTCACAGCCGGGCAACCTTCCCCGTTGTCCGGAGCCCGTCCTCCCGGTCCCCTTTCTCTCTGATCCCCGCTTGCCGCCTGCATCCTGAGCGCACCCGCGTCTGTCCTTTCTCCCTTCCCGGTGAGCCTAACCAGAGGAAGGTGTCGAAACTCATAAGGGGAACCCTCGTTCTAGTGGAGCCCTCAGGCCGTGCCATTGCCTGCCAGTTACGAGAAGAATCGCCAATTACAGGAAGAAGCGTCAGTTACAGACCCCAACAGGAGAATCGTCCAACAGGAAGGACGTAACAATAACAGGCCCCAACTGGAAAAAGATGGATGTCGCACCTGCTAGCAAGCCCAGCAGGCTCGACCAAGGAGATCCCTCATCATCCTGAACTCTTCCTTTTCTCCAGGAACTTTCAGTTCAAAGCAACCTCCCACCCTCCTCCTCCTCCTCCCTGAAATAACGGTCCTCTCCTTTGTGGGGCTTACCTGTGGTTTTGCCATAGCTTGCAGGCCCTGAATTGCAGTTCTTTGCTATTCTGGAATAAACGCATTTTGCTGACAAAACTTACTATTTCATCTTTCAGGTCCATAAAATTCTGTGTTTGTTTGTTTGGGTTTTTTTGGTTTGTTTTTAAAGATTTTATTTATTTGACAGAGATCACAAGTAGGCAGAGAGAGGGGGAAGCAGGCTCCCTGCCAAGCAGAGGGCCGATGTGGGGCTCGATCCAGAACCTTGAGATCATGACCCAAGCTGAAGGCAGAGGCCCAACCCACTGAGCCACCCAGGTCCCCCTGTTTGTTTTTAAAGATTCATTTATTTGAGAGAGAGCACAGCCTGTGAGCAGGGTGAGGGGCTGAGGGAGAGAGAAAAATCCACAAGCAGAACTCTCTGATAAGCTTGAGCAGGACTCGGGGCTCATCCCAGGACCCTGAGATCGTAACCTGAGCTGAAATCAAGAATTGGACTCTTAACCCGCTGAGCCACCCAGGCGCCTGACGGTCAATAAATTTTTAGTTTGAAAAAATTTTAAGCCACCTTCTAGCAGATCCATTTGTTCCTTAACACTCCTAGGATGGAGAGCTCACTCTTTTTGCCATGGAGCTTTTCCAAAACTAAGCAATCCTAATCACCGGAAAAATTCTCACTTTAGGCAAAAATCCCCTCACTGTACCTGTCACTGTTCCCAACTCCCAGCACCACCACATGTTGGAGGGATCCCTGGTCTTCATAATCATCTTAAATGTATTGAGTGGAAAGCAAGATGGAGTCACTCATATCCAACAGTGACCGTGTTAAGCCATGATTTATGCAGCCAAATGTGTTGTAGCTAAAACTAGATATCACTGAAAACAACACAAGCTGAGGATACCCAGAATGATAACCAGGAAAACTGGTTTTCTGATAACTGATAACCAGGAAAACCAGAAGAGGTCTGCAAAGGCACAAAGTCCGATTAAATGCCTTTAAAGAGTGAGGATCTTTGCAAGAAATGACCAGACTTTCTAGATAATGATCTTTTCACAGCTGACCACATCAAAAAGGTAATTGCCACCAAAGGCTCTGCCCTGTTGATCTCTGAACATTCTCCATGGCTTGAACATAATAAGCAGCACGTGCCAACAGCTCTCTCTGACTGGACTGAGGCTTTATCTCAACTGCACACTCCCAGACGGACTTTGACTTTGGTTTGTTAACTTCCTACCCCTTGTATTCTGCTTGGCGGGTGACTTTGTCTTATACTTTGCTTCATGTGATGTGTGAGAAGCCAAGTTAAACACACAGCAAAATGCCATTGAGTTTGAAATCTTGAAGCTGCTTTACAATTATGTTAATCTTGCTTTATGACGGAATAAAGCTGACATTGTGGAAAGCCACAACTCATATGTGCACCTCCATAGTGTGCTCGTGACAACTACCCAGACTTTACCTTTTCTAGGCTAAGCTCAATTTTCTCAAGGTTCTAACGTGATGTGACTTTCAGACTCTACCATCCTGGTTCCTATTCTCTGTATTTGATGTTGCTCGTAAGTTGTGGTTCCAAGAACCAGTGAGAACTGCACATTTCTCAGCACACAGCAACTCCTGCAGACCTCTGCAAGACTAAGTATGACACCTGACCAGCTTCTAATATGACTTCTAGTTGCACAAGCCCTGTCCCTAGATTGACCCCAGTGCTGCTCCTCCCACCCCCATAAAATGCCTGCCTGAGAATGCTTGTCAACAAAAAATCTGGTCAGAGAGAAGGAAAAATCGTATTATCATGCAGTTTGCAAATACGGGAATGCAGTCTTGAGTTACAAGCTAAGATTATGCTCTGAAGAGAGAGGATTAGGCTTAGGTTAAATAAGCAAAACACGCAAATTCTGTGCCTTTATGGAACCTGGTTAGACTCAAGTCCCAAACTACTAGTTTCAGGAGCAGAATATAGCTCGATATTTCTGGCGGTGGTTTCAGGATGTGGCAGCCATTGGAGAGCATGACACAAAGGGTTACAGGAGTCTTTTTGCAAATTTTGCTGAATTTTGTGCAAGTTTGTCACCTTAGGCTGTGTGACTGCTTTTGTTCCTCATGGTCATTCGGTTTGTTTAAAATGTTAGTGTTTCCTCCCGTGGCATCAGGGATCTCATCATATCTGTCAGTTATTACTTTCTAATTTGAGGGCGTCTTTTGTTCCCAACATTACGGCTGCCAGATTTACTGTTTGTTCTGGCCAAAATCTGATGACAGCCTCTTACCTCTCAAAGGGCTTAAAATTGTGACGTATTATCTCTAGCAACTCAGAAGTGCCTCTTTCTCTCCTCTCTCTGTCCCCACCTGCCTCTCTCTCCAGGACCTGAGAGCCATTTCTTTGGAATATAATCATCAGGAGGGATTGGGCCTCTGTTTCCCCGTCTCTGTTGGGGGACAGAATCCTAGCTTCTAGCTAGCAAACAATGTGTGTCCTAATCACATAGACACTGACCAACCCTTTATAATTTTTTACTTCTCTGACTCTACTAGGTCCTCCTCTTCTTCCTCCCTTATTCTCCCTTTAAAACACTCAAATCACTTCTGTGCAAATCAGAATGGAGCTCAGCTTTTTCTCCTACTATTGGTAGTTACTAAATAAAATCTGTTTTAACTGCTTTAACTAATATCTGACTGTTTATCTCACAATGTTCCAGGTGTAATCCAATCATAGAAGAGTACAACATTGTCTACGTTCCTTCACTTTTTTAGCTGCTAGATCAAATAGAACTTTCAGGTGTTTTTCACATTTACCTCTCTTAAGCCAAATGTACACCTATCTCATACACAATTTTAAACCAAACTGCTAATTAATATTATGAGTTTGCAATCATAGTTGGGGCCCACAGGCCATTTCAACTATGTCACCTACTAGCTATGGGACATTGAAACTTCAGTTTCCTCAGGTATAAGATAGAAACAACGCTGCCTACTTTGGAAGGGTTCTGTAAGGATCAAAGGATTTGGTACAGATAAACACCTGGGCTGGAGCTAGCACATACAGATTGACAGCAAATGTTTGTCCTGCTCCATGAACATGGTACTCCACATATATCTTGAAGACTTCACTGTTGATAGCTGTAGCCTACATCTTTGCAAAGTTTTTATGGGTAATCTAGACCAAGTGTCTCCCAAAATTGTTTAAAAGAAAGCTGAAATACTTAACTACAATAAATTTCAAAAGTCTACCTGTTTAAAGATGCCACCAGTGAAACTAAGAAGACAACAAACCAGAGATAGAGTGAGAATATTTGCACATATAACAGACAAGTGGTTTCTCTATCCAGATGACATGAAGAACTACAAATCCATCAGTACGTCAAGCAAAACAGTGAAATAATGACAAAGTATATAAATAGGCAAATTACAGAAAATATTCACATGGCAAATAAACATGTGAAAAACACAACCATTGACAGAAAATGAACAAACCTTCCAGATTTTCTAAAAGAAAGGAGTTTTATTTGAGCCCAAGTCAGGACAGCTGCCCTGGATACACAATCTTAGCAAGAGAGTGCTTTGGCAAAGGAACATTTGCTATAGGATCATACACACTTTTACCATAAAAAGTTACAAATCATTAGACAAAGGACATTTCAGAAAGTTGTAGACCTTAAGTTTCTAGTGTATGCAGGGCTGTAGGACTTTGACATCATGGGAACCAGGGAAGTTTCTTTCTTCTTCTTAACCTCTGTGTTCAGAATGCTCCTTTTAGGCGTGAACAAAGCAGATGTACAATGTATGCCTGAAGCACAAATAATGCCCATGCTTTGGGGTTCTTCAAGGTCATTTTGACCTTAGTAAATGTTAAAATATAGCTTCCCTGGGAGCCCAGGAGCAAGGCCCACAAACATTAAAGGTTGAAATTTCCTTTATCATTACAAATTTCAACAGTGAGATAAGTTTATTTGTCAGATTGCAAAACTTTTTTTTTAAGATTTTATTTTTATTTATTCGACAGAGAGAGATCACAAGTAGGCAGAGAGGCAGGCAGAGAGAGAGAGAGAGAGAGGAGGGGAAGCAGGCTTCCTGCTGAGCAGAGAGCCCAATGCAGGGCTCGATCCCAGGACCCTGGGATCATGACCTGAGCCGAAGGCATAGGCTTAACCCACTGAGCCACCCAGGCACCCCAGATTGCAAAACTTTTAAATAATAAAGCAAATTTACATTTATTGACCAATTATTTTGTTGCAATCACTGGTTTAAGGTC